ATTATTTTTTTTTTGTTCTTCATGGGGCAGGCTATGGGAGCTTCGGGGCGGGCCCGCCCCACCCCACCCCACCCCGCCAACCTGTCGGGGCGGGGCAAGGTAGGTTTTTTTTACCATCATTACTTAACGGACTCTGATACCATGATAAAATTCAAGGTCCCATCTTAAAAAATCAACTTTATTAAGATGAGTATCACAAACTCTTATAAATTGGTCTATGATTTCATCTTTATTCGATATAAGATTTTATCCTTCAACAATTTTCTTGAAGTATGAATAAATTCACCTAGTATTGTATTTAGCGAGATCATAAGGGCGTTCAAATTTATGCACGCAGAAGGTAAAATCCAAATGGATAAATTTGTTTAATTCATAGTGGCTTAATCTTTAAGATTAGATAGTTGACCCCGAAATACAAACATCATATATCCAATATTCATATATGAAAACTTGTGCACATGTCAAACGACTCAAACTTATGATGTAGAAAATGAATTTAGCCTCTATTTGAACTTCATTTTTGTATGAAAATGTGTTGAAATAACCATTTTTTTTGTTATTAAAAAAATAAAGAAAAGTTTTCAAAATATGTGTAAAATTATGGGATAGCGTGCGATTACAAAATGCGTTTTTGAAAAAAATAGAGACCAAACATATACTTGTATGTAGTCAACGGACGCATTACTATTTTTATTTATCATTTCCATTTTAATTCAAATTAAATAGCAAATTAGAATACTACTGATGGTTACATTTGACCTAAATTATCCAATTATAACTATATGGGAAGAGTACTTGCACGCCTTCTCCAATATAAAATTTACGAAAATATGAAGTTATTAGAGGATAATATTTTTTATTAAGTCTAATCCTAATCCATTTTAGCAGTTGATTAGGTGAATTGAAACTACCCATTTTAGTTTATTTTCCTTGTGCGGACTACTTATTCTTAACCTACTTGTCCCTCTACCATTATTCTATATACTAAGGACCATTTAACCTGTGTGTTGACGTAGCTAAAAATTATATTTTTAATAGATTATAATAAAAAAATGATAAAATATGTAGTTAAAAAGCTGATAAAAATTATGAATCTCACGAAATGTGTGATTTAAATTTTATTGACTTTGACTTAAATTTTTATCAAATTTTTTTTTTTTTTTTTTTTTTAACTCCACCAAACACGAGCTCTGGCGATTTTAATAGAAATGAAGTGGATTTGCCTAATTTCAAAGCCTTGAGGTTAAAAAATTAAAAATTGATGAAAAAAAGTAAGGGATATAAGTGAGGCAATTAAAAAAATTGAGGATATAAAGTGCAATTAAATAGTGTTGCAATGGGTAAAATTCTGGGGCAATATAACTAGCCATTAATTATAGAAAAATGCTATTCATCCCCAGTGTGGGTGTATCCCCAATTTATGTGGATGTAAATGATTGGATAAATGATATGTGAAATTAAATGACTTATTTAATTTCACATATCATTTAATGCAACATTAACACCACATTGACTGGGGATACACCCCCACTGGGGATGAATAACATTTCTCTTAATTATATTTACATTACAATTTTCATTAATTACACTACATTTTAACTGTATTTAAGGTCCTTAATCTTTGTTCATTATCGCCTTTATATCACTAACTTCGATTAATTCTACCTCTTCTTTGATAATAATTTTTGTCCAAAAATTCTGTCGAGTGTTAAAAATGACACACTTTTAAAAATAATAAATACAATATTACGACAATTATTTTTCCCTCGTTTTAAAGTATGTAAACAATATATCTTGAAAATGTGCTAAATGCTAATTAATGAAATGTTGAAGATAAATTCGACAAAAAAAAAATTAGGATCAAAATTATTATAATGAGTAAAATTTGAAAATCTCAAATGCAATTAAAATGTGAAAACTGGGGGGAAATAATTATAAATAAATCTACAGAGTTAAGTTCGCCGGTCTCTATCCTCTACTTTTCGTACATTTTCCACCTCATTTTTATTTATTTTTTCAAATAAATTTAACTTACTTCATACCCTTGTACCCTGCTCTTTGAACCTTGTACATTTCTATATTTATAAGAAAATCTTATTTATAAGGAATTATCCTTTCTCTCTCTCTACATAAGCAAAACCTCTCTCTAGAGAACAATATCGATGTCGAAAGTCTCGTTCTCATCCCAACTCTCGTCATTCGGTGCAAAGTTTCCCTATTTTCCTCTTGTCTTTTCTTCTTTCTCAACAAATTTCTGAAACCGATCTTCCGCGTCTATGCAAGCAGCAATTGATTTATCACCGAACTATTTATGCTGAGGTTTTTCTGCATTAGTTACTGCAATTTCTGTTTTGCAGATCAGAGAAACAGAACTATTTTCTTTAAAAAAAAAATTTCCAGTCTTTTAAGCAAGTAAAATGGAGAAATGAAGTTTGTGATGCTTCTCTGCGTTTCGTTGAGAGGTCGAAATTGGTATATTTCTGATAATTATTGATATGTTTTGTTTTGTTTTATGCTTACAGGAATTTTCTGGATAAGCTTTGGGATAAATGCTCGGGTTCAACTCGCAGTTATACTAATTTATTGTAAAGGTGGAATTTGGTTTTCCAGTCTGATATAATTTTTAAAGCTTTAAATGCTTTTATATCTGGTTGTTGAAGCAGTGAGTACTGGTAAATTTTTTTTTTTTGATATATTGCATAATTGTTTGAGGTTGAGCGAATTTTGTATTTTTCTGATAATTGTTGATTTGTGCTCTTTTGTGGTTTGCAGGAGCTTGCTGGAAAAAATGCTTGATGTTCAACTCGCAGTTATACTGTTCTTTTAATTAAGGTGGAACTTGATTTCTATTTTTAATGTAACTAAAAGCTTTTTAATTCTTTTATAAATTGTGGTTGAACCTGTAATTACTAGTAAATCTTATGATATTATGCATATCTGTTTGAGAGATTGAACAAATTTCATTCTTTTCTGATAATTATTGATTTGTGTTCTTTTGTGGTTGCAGGAGTTTGCTCGATTAGCTTTGGGAAAATGCTCGAGGTTCAACTCGCAGTTGTACTAATTTCCTGTTAGGTGGAATTTTGTTTTTTATTATATTGTAACATTTATAGCTTATACAACCTATTGTTGAACCAGTAGTTACTGTTAAATCTTATGATATTATGCATATCAGATTGAGAGGTCGTACTTTCCTGATAATTATTGATTTGTGTTCTTTTGTGGTTGCAGGAGTTCGCCAGATTAGCTTTGAAAATATTGCTTGAGGTTCTACTTGCAGTTATACTAATTTCTTGTTAAGGTGGAATTGGATTTTCTATTTTATTGTAAATTTTCTAGCTTATACGACCTGTTGTTGATCCTGTAGTTACTGCAGCATTCATAGCACACATTGCATAACCAGTATTATTATCTCAGGCCGTCAGTTTTAGTCTCTGTTTGACAACTATTATTTCAAAGCTCTTTGAAAATATTGCTGAATTACATTATTTCATACTCTCACTGCTTACTTCGACACCGATTGGCTGGAAATTGTGATGATTGTATCTCAATTTCAGTTTACATTCTCTGTGTTAATGTGAACCCTATTTTATAGTGTTCAAAGAAGCATCATACTGTTGCTTAGTCTTCAATAGAAGCAGATGACCATTCTATTGCCTCAGTGACTATAGAGATTACTCGGGCTAACTAATAGTCTTAGGAGTTAGTGTTCCTTTCCTTGGAACTGTCCGCCTATTTTGTGATAACATTGGATCAACTAATTTGTGCTCAAAATAGGTACGTCACCTTGTGCTACAATTTTGTGTGGAAAAAGACCATGTCTTTCTTTATAGGTAGCTCGTGTTTGTACTCACTACCTACTTGCCAATATTATTGATGGGCTCCTTGCCAAGTCCCGTTCCAAGATTGTTATTCTCAATGGAAGAACCTTCTTGCGGGACTATAATAGGAAATAAGCAATTCAATCCCCAAATGAAGCAAAGTCAAATATCAACCATTCAATCTTGCAACATTCACAGCATACTTTGTGCCAGTATTCTTATTTTAAGCATTTGTTTTATTATCTTCAATGTATACCATTGCGGTAGAAATTCAAGGTGCGTGTTTATTATTTTTCCATGTATGTTTTCCTCTTTGTTTTTCTTTCTTGTTCTCTCCCTCTTTTTAGGATAGAGGGTCTTGGCCGGTTTTGAGGCTTAGCATAATAAACACTTGTTCATTTTAGATAATTTTTTAGTGCATTGATATGTTACAGGTCTGCAAGCTCAAGAAATCAAGATCCTTTGTGATGTAGCTTCGCTAATTCGGTGCAAGATCTATCAATCACGCAAGAGATGTGAGCCTGATACTCAATGTGCGTTGTCGACACGTTAATTTGGTGCAAGATCTATCAATCACGCAAGAGATGTGAGCCTGATACTCAATGTGCGTTGTCGAAACTTATTACTTTTTGCATGGATATCGTACATGTTGTGCGACTTGTTAAATGTTTATTGCGTGGAAGATTAAGTATTGAGATTGCGTCATAGATTAACATCGTACATACCATCTTTAACATTCCCATTTGTATCAGTCTTGTTGACATTTGATCCATCACAATGCAACAATTTGCAAAGGGAGTTTGAACTGTGAAGGAGCATAGAGGTGAGGGAGAAAATAAAGAGAATAGGTCCTTGACTAGCTTTTAGAGTAAGTTACAAGAAGGATTATGAGGCTTTTAGAAAATAGTCTATTCCGCCTGAGGGGTTCTTAATATGGTTTCTGCTACTTGACTGGCAGCCTAGCTGTTATAATATTATTTAATTGCACTTGTTAGACATGCATTTTTCTTCTGGTGTTATTATTGTCATTGAAGTTATGAAGTGAATTTTTTTTTTTTGTTATTTTGTGTAGGCTTGTGGATATATTATCAAAGTACAGTTGGAAAAGAGAAGTTCCCTGGTGCATTTTCCTAAAAATCTGTTTGTATTAAGTATTAACTAAGTGTACAGTGAGCATTCATGGCATTCTTGGATTTGGTTTCTGGAGAGTCACTAAATATCCCTCAAACTCCTAGAACTCTTTCGAGGGTGATGACTCTTCCTGGAATTATATCTGACTGTAATTTGATTGGTGACGGGGATTCAGATAGCACTTCATCTGTTTGCCATGGGCGGATAATTATAGTGGCAAACATGTTACCTTTATATGCTAAAAGGGATAGCGAAACTGCTAAATGGCACTTTGGTCTGGATGAGGATTCACTTTTGTTACAAATGAAGGATGGATTTCCAACTGAGACTGAGGTGATATTTGTGGGATCTCTTAAAGTTGAAATAGAAGCCAATGAGCAGGATGCAATTGCGCAGAGACTTATGGAAGATTTCAAATGTCTACCGACTTTTCTACCACGTGATATCCAGGAAAATTTTTATCATGGGTTCTGTAAGCAACAACTCTGGCCTCTTTTTCATTACATGCTTCCCATGTTCCTGGATCATGGAGATCGCTTTGACCGAAATCTTTGGCAGGCTTATGTGTCTGCAAATTATATATTTTCTCACAAGATCATGGAAATAGTTAATTTCGAGAATGATTTTATCTGGGTTCATGATTACCACCTCTTTGTGCTCCCTACTATTCTAAGGAAGCGTTACAATAGAGTCAAGCTTGGGTTTTTTCTTCACAGTCCATTTCCTTCATCAGAGATATACAGAACCCTGCCCGTTAGGGATGAAATTCTCAGAGGATTATTGAATTGTGACCTAATTGGTTTCCATACATTTGATTATGCTCGTCACTTTCTGTCATGCTGTAGTAGAATTCTGGGCTTGGACTATGAATCTAAAAGAGGGCACATTGGACTTGATTACGCAGGTCGTACAGTTTATATAAAAATTCTGCCTGTAGGTATTCACCTGGGTAGACTGAAAACTGTGTTAAATCTTCCTTCCACATGCAATAAAATCAAAGAGATTAAAAAACAGTTCCTGGGCAGAAAATTGATTCTTGGTGTTGATGATATGGATATATTTAAAGGTATCAGTTTGAAATTGCTGGCATTTGAACAGCTTTTGCAGCAGCATCGGGCGTTGCGGGGAAAACTAGTATTGATACAAATAGTAAACCCTGCTAGGAGCTCAGGAAGGGATGTTGAGGAAGCAAAGGAAGAAACATATTCAACTGCAAGAAGAATCAATGAGATTTATGGCAGTCCTGATTATGAACCAGTGGTTTTGATTGATCGTCCTGTTGCTCGCTACGAGAAGACTGCCTATTATTCCATGGCAGAATGTTGCATAGTGAATGCAGTGAGAGACGGGATGAACTTGGTCCCCTATAAGTATTTAGTTTGCAGGCAGGGTTCTTCTCACATGGATGAAGCTACAGGCATCAAAATGGATTCTCCTCCGACAAGCGTGCTTGTTGTGTCTGAGTTTGTTGGTTGCTCACCGTCTTTAAGTGGAGCAATTAGGGTGAACCCATGGGATTTCGACTCTGTTGCCGAGGCCATGAACATGGCTATTTCCATGCCTGATTCAGAAAGGCAACTGCGACATGAAAAACACTACCGATATGTTAGTTCTCACGATGTTGCTTATTGGGCCGGCAGCTTCATGCAGGATTTGGAGAGAGCATGCCAGTATCACTACGATAAGAAGTGTTGGGAATTGGGTTTTGGCCTAAATTTCAGAGTTTTATCACTTTCTCCAGGTTTTAGGAAGCTACATATTGATCATGTCGTCTCTGCGTATAAAAGGACAAACATGAGAGCAATATTCCTGGACTATGATGGAACTCTTGTACCTCCATCCTCCATGGTTAGATCTCCCAGTAGTGAAGTCATTACTATACTCAACGCCCTGTGTGATGATCCTAAGAACACGGTGTTTATTGTCAGTGGAAGAGGAAGAAGTTCTTTAAACGATTGGCTTGCACAATGTGAGAAACTGGGATTAGCTGCTGAACATGGGTACTTCATAAGGTACATAATTTTGAGTCTTTGGCTGAATTTCTCTTCTCTAGAACAGGTTATTAAATATATGTATTGAAACCAAGATCTTTATCATCATTTACTTTAGGTGGGATAAAACCTCTGATTGGGAATCATTGTCTGCTGATCTTGAATGGAAAGAAATCGTGGAACCCATTATGAAACTGTATACTGAGGCGACCGATGGGTCCTATATGGAAATCAAAGAGAGTGCATTGGTGTGGCAACATCGGGATGCAGACCCAGATTTTGGCTCCTGCCAGTCCAAAGAATTGTTGGATCACTTGGAAAATGTACTTACAAATGAACCTGCAATTGTTCAGAGGGGACAGTATATTGTAGAAGTGAAACCACAAGTATGCTCTCTCTCTCTCTCTATATATATATATATATTCACACACACACACACACACATGTATGTATATATGTATGTACATAATCTAAGTAAGATTGATATTCAGTTATTGCATCTTGATGTGCAGGGAGTGACCAAAGGATTGGTTGCCCAGAAGGTCCTCGCTCTGATGGTAAAAAATGGACAGCTGCCAGATTTTGCGATGTGTATTGGCGATGATAGATCAGATGAAGACATGTTTGAAAGCATATTGAGCAGTGTCTCTAGTTTATACCTAGCAGCAGCACCTGAGATCTTTTCTTGCACCGTTGGGCAAAAGCCAAGCAAGGCTAAATATTACGTTGATGACGCTGCTGATGTTGTGAGGCTGCTTCAACATCTCGCCACTGCTTCAAGTCCAAACCCTCTGGCATAGTTTATGCTTGGAGGTTGGTTTTGTTGTCTTTATAACAAACTTTTAAACGGAATACCATATGTAAATTCTTCTCCTTTTTCTTGTGTGGCGGGTGTAAGGTGGGGCGTCTCTATTGGTGAAAAGGAAAAAGTTACCATTGTTGACGTTAACATAGTATACAGCGCTGGGTTGGTATCGGAATTCGCTTTCTTGCCAGATCTGCTTCTGTTTAGGTTTGAGCGTGAAAATTTCTAATTTAGAAAGCGTCTTTTGTGCCAAAAATCTTTTGGAGTATAGTTTTGCAGATGTTGATAATGGTTGCTCTAGATTAGAAGGCACTTCTTGTATATATTTGACCTGGCTCCTTCTTTAATGCCAGTTCTGTATATAACTCTATTTGTTTTGTTTCCTTTTTTTATTTGTTTGCACTGAAACTCTCTGAAAAAAGGAAAGCACCCACGAATGAGTTTTACTCATAATTAATGGCGTAATTATAATTAACTTTAGTGATTAAATAACTAGAAAAAAAAAAAAAAACTTTAAGCATAATGTTAAAAACTATAGTAACCAAATAACTAAAAAAAATGTTTTTAAGATTTAATTATGCAACATTATAATTAACGAAGTGACTAAGTAACTTTGAAAAAAATAAAATTTGAAGGCCAATATAAAATGTTTTAACATTTCACTTGTTATGGGGTTGCCATATGATGAGAATCTCCTTCCTTTATGTTGAATATTCAATTACGCCATGGATCACTTGGAATAGTTCTTTCCTAATACTTCAATAGGTTTTTATATTTGGTGTAAAAACCTCATTATTCATTGAGAAAGATGATGGATTTGATGTTCAGAATATTGATTGAACAAAGACGCAATATGAACGTGAGAAATCAGTGGGCTTTGCTACTTTATCAGGGGCATGTGGCCCTTGATTGTAAGGACAGGTGGAGGGAGGTTGTGGTCATATACAAATAGCAAAACTCATTTTTCTCTAGAACTAGTCAAGTAATGATCTTCGATTTAAAAATGTGTGTAGTTTGATTCGCATTATCATTTTCCAAATAATTAGTCGGGAAGATTTTGATTGTAATATATTTTTTTAATTCCTTGGCTACCTCTATTATTATTGTTGTTGTTGTTGCTGTCAATTTACTAATTTAGGAGCCTGTCTGGACATGCTTTAAATTCAATTTCCTACCGTTAATGGAAGTAAAAAAACAATCGTTGGACTGGCGCTGTCAGAATAAATTGAGTGCACTTTTACCAATTTGTCCTTGACAACCTTCTTTGACTTTTCAAACCATATTACGTGAAAATTGCTGTGAGGAGGGCAAATGTGAAAATTGGCTGGCCAAAAGCTGAATTTCAGTCTGCACAATTTCAATAAGTTTTGTTCTTGGAAATGTTGTTAACGGTCGTTAAAATGCTTATAAGCATTGCCAGACAGCCTCTAGAGCTTAAAGCTCTTGTTTGATTTCCTTAATTTTCAAAATACATTTTTTTCTCTTTTCTTTTCAATCACACATTTTTTAATAAAATAATATTACACATAAACCTAAAAATTTTCCTTATTTTTTAGGCATACATTCTCCATTAATCTTAATATAGGGCTTTGCTACTTTATCCTTTGATGTCATTTTGCTCCGTCTATTACAAGATCTTCTGGAGATCTAAAGCAATTAATTAGACATTAATGTACCAAAATTTCAAGAATAAATATGACGTTGGTGTAAATGGTCATAAATCTTTGGACTTCTTACAAATTTGTCCCAAAGTTTTCGAGTTTGGTATTACATTCCAAAACTAGGTCATTAGCAACGTAATTATTGGATTCAGCCCACGATAATCTTAGCTCTTGTTTGGTCCTCATTATTTAAAAACTTATTTTTTCTCAAATTCATTTTTAATTACATATCTTTCAATAAAATAATTTTACATGTAAATTTAGGGTCTGTTTGAGCCCCCTTTTGTTGTAGAATACATTTTGGAATATTAGATTGACAGAGAATGTGTGATTAAAACAAATAAGAAGAAGTTTTAGATTTACGTGTAATATTATTTTATTGAAAAATGCGTAGTTGAAAAGAAGAGAGAAAAAATGTATTTTGAAAAAAAAAAATGAGATCAAACAGGGTATAAGTATTGAAATATGTAATTTTTTAAATACAACCGTAAAAAAAATTANTGTCAATAATTCTTTCAAAATTTGTGCTAAAAGAGTGACAAGTTCTATCATTCTCTCTCTACGGATGACAAAATACTCCTTCTTTGCCCCTTCATTGTCTATTCAAATAGGTCTCCGCTCTGAACTCGCATCGACACTTACTTTTTTAATCATTATTTATGTTATCGAAATTAAATCAATATATATATATATATATATATATATGTGTGTGTGTGTGTGTGTGTGTGAATGAAACGGTAATAAAAATATTAAAATCTCGTCTCATCCTAAGATCTATCTAAAAGGTAATAAAAAGAAGTAAAAAAGAAAAATAGATGCTGCGAATCGTTACTTTCTCAATTTCAGTTTGTATTTTGCAATGATTTAAAATTTGGCAAATGGCACCAACCACCGCCAAGTAATTAATGTTGAGGAAAGAGGATTACCACAATATTATTATTCATAATCAGATTTAATTTGCCCTTTGCTTGTTCTAATGTATCACTATTATTCATAATCAGATTTAATTATTGTTTATTTCTTGATTCTTAAGGAAGTATTATCATCTGATATAAAAAAAAAAACTTAATTCCAGTTGGTTAGAAATTAAAATCTAAATTTTAATCTAAATCAACGTCAGCAATTAATTTTAGAGTAATGTTATTCATCCCCACTGATATTATAAACACAGTCTAGATGAATTTTACTTATAGATACACAAATCCAAAAATCATTACATGAATACACATAATAAAAAAAGTAGATTATTTTTAAATAAGATTAAATTAAATATATCATCAAATAATTATTTGACTACACATTAAATTGCTAAAAAGTTGAGGCCAAATTCCAAAACAACTTTATCTTTATATAATTTCTATAATAAAACAAAATAATTGTAACAAGATTACATTTTCTCTCTCTCTACAAAAGCATATGATTCTCATCTCATATCCAGCAGGGGTTCTTCACTCTCCACATGACCACAGTCCGCCCGCGCCTTCTTTTCTCTCTCTTCGGTCTTTTTCATCTTTTTCTCTCTCTTCAACTATTTCACACACTCACTCCTCAAAAAACCATAACTTTTCCCCTTCTTTTCTCTTTCGTCAAGAATTTAAAAAACCGACATAAGGTTTTACTTTGAATCAAATGCAGAGCTTCAGCTTCCGCTAAAGGCGTATAAAATGGGAAAAAATGCTTCTGTGTTGCTCTTCACTATTCTACTGTTTTTTGATGGTGTTTATTCTGTTTCAGCTACTTCTTCACCCGCCAGTAAGTAGTTCTATACACACACACACGACACATTTATTATATGCATATGAATCTTGAACCAATTTGTTTTTGGGTATGGAGCGAGATGTGTGTGTTACTGTTTCTCATTGTTTTTTTTGGCAGGAATTGTAAATGTATTTTTCTCAAGTGCATTTTCGACGCTGATGAAAAGGATTTTATCGCTCAAGGCAACTACTAAAACAGGTAAAGAAGGATCTCCCTCTTCGAATATGATTCATTGTTCTTTATGTTTTTTATAGTCTTGATTTTCTTGATTTGTGACAGCAATATCTGGGCGTCCAATGATGAAATTTGAGAGCGGGTACACTGTGGAGACAGTGTTTGATGGGAGTAAACTTGGCATTGAACCTCATTCTGTTGAAGTTTTGCCTAATGGGGACCTTCTCATTTTGGATTCTTCTAACAGCAATCTTTACAAGTTCTCTTCATCATTGTCCCTATGTATGTCCTAAACCAGCATTCAATTGTTATTTGTGAATTTTTGTGATTTCTTTATTCAGTATTGTGTGTTTGTGGGCGCTCGTGCACTAGCATTGTTTGTTCCATTGCAGCATATTTATTGTTTATTGGCCCTTACTTTGACCTTTTGCTTCTGCTTATAGTGGTTTGCTACTGCTAGTAATGTGTGGAATTTGATATTTCTGTTGAGGTTGAGCTGCCGATGTTAGCAAAGTTGGCCTTAATATTGTAATTTTCATCCGCATGTAGCTGAATGGTTCTAATGACAATAACAACGACCCATTTAGGAAATGCATTATGTTATGATAAATCTTTGATGCTTCTGGATTTAGCTTTTCTATGACTTGTTTATACTGCTGCTTGTTTGAGAAGCCTAGTGCGTTAAAAGTGTAGCTTATCCATGAATTTGAAGTTGAAGCTACACCTTTGCCTATGCCTTTTTTTACATAAAGGTCGTGTGGGAGAGGGTTGGAATTGGTGATAATGAGGTCTAACAGGGGGAAACAGAGTGCCCGGAGTGCATTTTTTGGTGGTTGGTTGTTCTAGTTAATGAGTAGTCACATTGATAGTGTAATGCTTGGCACTCAACTCATGTCCGCAGCCCTAATTGAAATTATCTTCTGACTCTACATGGACTTAACTTTCGGTAAATTTGGAAATTGCAGATAGCAGGCCAAGGCTGATTGCAGGGTCAGCAGATGGATACTCTGGATATGTGGATGGTAAATTGAGGCAAGCAAGGATGAATCATCCAAAGGGAATTACAGTTGATGATGGTGGAAACATTTACATCGCCGACACGGATAATATGTCAATCAGGAAGATAAGCGATTCTGGTGATTATTCCTGATCTGTCTTTGAGCAAACAGAGTAACAGTTTTTGTTTGTGCATATGTTGTTATGGTCTGCAGATAAGCATTCTGTATACCATTCTGACTAAGTAACAATAAGCGTCATCTTCGTATTTTGAAAATATGAACAACTTAGTCAGAGAACATGCTTGCTTTTTTTTTTTTTAAATTATCTTGTATGTTGGACCGAACAAAGTCTAATCACAGTGTTTGCTTATCCCGTTATCTAGATATGAACTTTTTCGTTATATGGGTAGATTGCTTTTGTATTGGGTTACTTATAATTCCCATGTCGTGGAAGAGCGTTGTTTTTCTGCACACTTGAGATAAGACAGAGAGGTGTGAGATCTTTCATTGTAAAAACTTCTTCTTCTCGATTATCAAATCTGCGCAGCAAGTGGATGTAGGTTTTTCATTTAGGGTGAATGCCTATAATTCTGTGAACTTGTTCACCATCTGATTTCCTTTCTATTTATTGTTGATCTCGGAGCTTCTGTAACAAAAAAGACTGGTTAACTGGCAGTTGTAAAATATTGCAGTGTATTTTACTAATATCCATTGTGATTGGCTTTCTTTCTCTAGGAGTGACAACCATAGCAGGAGGTAAATGGAGTCGGGGAAATGGACATGTGGATGGACCAAGTGGAGATGCGAAATTTTCAAATGATTTTGATGTGGTCTATATAGGAAGCAGTTGCTCTCTCCTTGTTATAGATAGAGGAAATAAGGCGATTCGTGAGATACAACTCCACTTTGATGATTGTGCTTATCAGTATGGAAGTGGTTTTCCCCTGGGTAAAATATATGAAATTGTATTATTCTTGGCCTTAAGTTCATTCCAGTTAAAAATTTATATGGCAAGTTAACTACTGCAGGTATTACGGTGCTTATAGCAGCTGGCTTCTTTGGTTATATGTTAGCTTTGCTCCAACGAAGAGTTGGTTCAATAGTATCTTCTCGAGATGTGAGTTCCACATATGGTTCAATTGTATCTTCTCAAGATGTGAGTTCCACATGCTCTGATGATCCTATACTGTTTAGTGGATGAATTTAGAGAGTGTGTTTGGTTAAGCTTAAAGCAAGTTTCTTTTAATCAACTTTTTGTTATCTAATATGTTTGAATCGCTCTTTTTTTTTTTCTTACTTCTACGGAAAAAAGGTTTTTTCTAGAATAAGTAATTGTTACCTTAGTGTCAAAATAAGTAACCTGCTTCCAATTTGTACACGTTAAAGCTTCCTTTAATCATTGCATATTAATCCCCCAACCCTTCTGGTTTAAATTGCTACCCAATGACAATAAGAAAATGCGAAGAAGAGTACCCCGATTACTGTCTCTTTGCTTGTATATTCCTTCTCTTATCCAACTTTTACCTTCTGTTATTAGTCATTGAAGGAGCAAGGAGTCTTGAAAGCAAGTACTGTATATCAGAATCCTTACCAGAAACAGCTGAAGTCTTCGGTACGACCACCACTGATCCCGGCCGAAGTCGAGCAGGAAAAACTCGAAGAAAGCTTTTTCGGGTCTTTAGGGAGATTGGTTGCACAAACTGGAGCATCTGCTGCTGAAATTCTTGGAGGAGTTTTTCCCGTATTCAAAAGGAATCAATACAATCATCAGTATCAAAACCAAGTACAACAGCAGAAGTATTCAAATACTTGGTCTGTACAACAAGACAGCTTTGTTATACCAGATGAAGACGAGCCCCCTTCCATCGAAACCAGGACCCCGACTCCTCAAAAAACGTATGCTTTCATGTCCAAAGATTCTGAGAATATGCAACGACTTAGACAAAGTCGTGCTTTCTACAATGGATGGGAAGGTGAACTCCAGAATCAGCAAACTCAGAAAAAGCAACATCATCATCAATATCATTCATCCGTACCACAAACGTACTATGAACAAACTTCGTTGAAGACCAGTGAGATTGTTTTTGGAGCAGTTCAAGAGCAAGAAGGGCAGCACGAGTCTGTTGTAATAAAGCCCCTCGACCATGGTATTCCGGCTTACAATCATTCTAATATTCGTGCTCGACTCAACTTTGGTAATGGACGTTGATTATTGTACACCATAGCTTCCTCAGGATTACTTCAAATTCAGGTATATTACATATTCCTCGTAATGCTAAGTTTGCCGTAATAGGGAAATCTATTGTAGTCTTGAAGAAAAATGTTTAAAGTCCTATGAAAATGTATTGAATTAATTGGATTATCTACTTCCAATAATGCTGAACTTCATTTACATTTTCGTTAGTCAAATTAACAGACATGGACGGAGTAGTGACTAGTGAGAACTCGAAATGCCTCTTAGATACATTTTTGGGTAAGGACAAAACAGTTTGTACAGTCTGTTCTTGTTTAAAGTTAAGAAATTGATAGATCCAATGTTTGCTTAATAATTTGGACTACATGTAGAAGCTTTTAGGACCAGACATTTTATTTAGTACTAACTTAACTCTTGCACAGGAATGTTTGAATGTTTTTCTTAAAGTTTATTTCAGATCATGGCAGTATGTTACCAGTACAAGAATCCAAGGCACGTGCGCACGTGACTAGTAATAGTTAAGTTAAAAATGTGTAATGCCAATCAGGTGTGTTAATAAAAAATGTCACTACATTTTAAATATCATATTATCCCATTGTCTTGTGAAATGAATCCAAAGTATTGAAGAGTAGATTGTGACTGAAATGATGTGAATGCATATGACTTGAGTTTGTGAGTGGAGAACAATGGAGCATGGTGACAGTGGGGCCAAGTGAGTAATGCGTCCATTTGTAAATGGTTGGTTTTGTTCTTTATGTCATTATGGTGGAAATTATGCACAAGTGGAATTGAGATATAACTGCATATTGAGGGATTGGAATCCCATTGATAGTATTTTATCGATGGGTAGTTTGTAGATTGATGTAGAGGCAATAAATGTAGAGAAAATGACGGGTTGGACTGGCCTGCCTACAAAAAATAGCCAGTGGGGTTTCATGCCAGTTCAACTGTGGTTTGGGCTAGGCCCAGTCTGTCTTTAAAATCTTAGGGCGGAAAAATTCGTATTTGTATCATTATGAAAAAAATGATTTCATATTTTAGTATGGTAATATAACTAAAAATACTGGATGATATATGAATTATTTTGAATCCACCGAACATTGTGCTTCTCATTTGATGTCCATTCTAAAATCAGAGAAGAAATTAAAAATTGAAGACGGGCAAAGACTCACAGTTTCGTCTGAGGCATATTCACACTTTGTATCCTCGCTGCTGCAGTTATCAAGAACTCGTGGGCGCTATAACAAATCTTCCCAATTTTGACACTGAAATTTCAAAGTAATGTCACGACGTTCTTCAATTAGTTGTAACTCAAGTCGAAAATTTCAAATTTCCCATATTATTTAGTATATAACTACTGATCATTGATTCAAGAAACACAATCTTTAATCCAAATTTTGCTTTCCCGAATGTTTGCAAATCTGGTGACGATTTAAGAAAATGATTTTGTAATGTCACTCCGTGTCTGGGCAACGTGAAATTCGATAAAAATAAAGACGGATTACATCCTTTTGGAATTCTGTATTTTAGGTCACATAATATCGTGTTGGGAAAAGTTATTTAAACAGGGTCGGTGACGGGGAAAAACAGGTGCATGTGTCAGCACTTGTTTGGGTAATTTTTTTTTTTTTAAAACTGTCAAATCAATGAATGACACGTGTCCCACCCATTTTTAAATCTGTCACTGACCCTGTTTTTGTAGGAAAACTCTGGTGTTATACATCTGAACTGTTGTTTACTTGATGATTTGATTTGTCAATAGTCGTAACAATTAAGAAAATCTATACATCATTTTATTTCCATTATATACAGATGACATTCACGGTTCACCCCCTGATTTTGAATTACATAAATTGATCGGTCAAAAAGAAGATCAAAATATGGATTCTGGAATAATTGCAGTTATATATTTCAGTCTAGGGAATTTGCTTAAAAAACATAGTCAACAATAATGTTTGGTAAAATAGCTTATATCAATACTTATTGTTTAATGAGCCTACAGTCTATTTGATCATATATTAAAAGTCTTAAATACCCTTAAATTGAAATTACTGAAATGTCCACTTTGGAGATCAATATTTACCATATCCCCATACATAAATCCCTAAATCCTCCTAAATCATTCTTCATTGTAACGTTTTCAAATCCACTTTCACCATATTAAACCCAGCTTCAAATCCAACTTTCTTATTTTTTATATACTTTATCTACACTATAAAGTTTCTTTATTTGAACTAAGGACAAATCAAACACTGCAAATTTTGGAAGTGGATAAGCAAGAATCAATTTCAAACAATTGAGGGTATGCTTCATAATTAGAAAATTAACGATTTCTTGTTATTTTCTAGTTGTATATTATGAAAAATCAATTGGGTAATCAAATTTGCTGTGAAATATAAAAATGGAATGGTGCAGTTTTTCTGTAGTTGGGTGCCTTTTTATGTAACTGAGTGCTGTTGTAATTTAATAATTGTGGTATTGATGTAGTTGTTTGCAAATTAGTCATTCCTCAATTCTTTTATAGCATTATATTTATTTTAAACAGACTTAAATGGCACATACACGTTTTAAACCACAGAATGCCTTTTTTTTTTTTAAACCTACTTTGAATCTATTATGTAACAATATTGGTTGCATTTTGTTTATTATTGAAGCTGCATTTTATAGTATTCGGTTTTGATGATTAATGGAATAATATATTACATATTTTTTGGTGAATTGTAGATATGGACTCTGGTGCAATGATTGTCATTTGTTATTTTGTTGAATTTGAAAAAATCTTCATTTTATAGTATTCGGGTTTGATGATTAATGGAATAATATATTACATATTTTTTGGTGATTTGTAGATATGTACTCTGGTGCAATGATTTTCATTTGTTATTTTGTTGAATTTGAAAATAGTGATCAAGGTGGATAGAGACACTGCAACAAATATTTTTGTGTCGAAAAATATTTCATATATGTAGTTATATGAGGAAGTTAGAAAAGCATTAAAGGCTGATTCTGTTATGTATGACATCAAGATGAAATTTCTTGTACCTACCATGACAAAATTATTAGTTCCGCCAATGAAAATTAATTGCGATATTGATGCTAGTTGGTTTCTCTCTTTGCATGACCAAGTTTCAATTTGTGTAACACTGCATCTTTTACCAATACAACTACTAGAACAAGACATGGACCTTGATATGGTAAATATTAAGGAGAATCATGAATACAATTCTAAAGTTGTTGTAGATAATGTGAAAGATATGGATGAATGCAATATGCCAAAAGATAAGTCTGGCGACAAGTACATGCAACTGTTGTTTCCATTTAATCAAAATTGTAAAATGATTGTTTGTATTTTACAAGTCATGATTATTGGGATGTGGTAGAAATAGTGTGTAACAACTACAAAGATGATTCTCGTGTGATAAATGAAGACAATGTTACTCATAATACACCGTTTACATTGACAAATGAGATTATTAGCATTTCACAAGTAGTTGTATGTTCGAATCCTCGTGGAACATCAGTTAAAATTCTTGACGCTGATGATGTACACGTTAGTCAAATGTTTCGCAACAAGAAGGATCTCCAAGCTTCACTACAAATTCTTGCTTTAAGAATCTATTTTGAATTTAAGGTTACTAAGCCAAATAAGAGTAAATATGCAGTAGTTTGTGTTGAAGAAATTTGAAAATGGCATTTGTGGGCATTATATAATCCCAACATTATATACTGACTTTCAAACATTCAAAATGATATTCGTCTGGAGCTTGGCATGGATATAAATTATTATAAAGGAGCACTTCTATGAAGGTCTACCTTTGATTCTATCTTCATTGGGAATCACAAACTCAAATGAATGTTTCATTTCTATATCAATGAACAAATATGAAGAATTTATAGTAATGTTAAGTGATATTTAGTACAATTCATTTTCAAAAACAGATAAACAGCAATGTGACATTTTTCAGAATTTCATAAACGACAGGGTGCCATTTTTAGAACTAGATAAACTTTAGAGTGTCATACTAGAAAATTCAGCAACTAACACATCAATTATCACAAGCTCAATCAAGTAAATGCAATTTTCATTATCGAAAAACATGCAAAATAATACAATATATTAGTTACAGGTAAAAAATCACGATCTTTTATTACTCTACCATATTCCATTTTATTCAAACCTCTTGAATCAACACATCTCACTGGAGAAAGCCACATTATAGGAGAAAAAATAATTCATCCATATCTCAATGACAAGCAAATACTACAATGCAATATAAGTGTTCATCAAAGAATCATTAGGAGTAAGTATTTCGTAGAACTTTAAGAAAATGAATGAGCTCAAAATCTCATATCTTATCTCTCTGCATAATCAACAAAGTCCAAAACCTTAAAGAAGACACTTTGTTAAGTAACACAAAATAGTGTCAATTTACTAAGACATCAAGGATATCACAGAATATCCATTTCATAACACTAACATTGCAACTAACATGACATTTAAATATTTTTCAGCAAACAGATATTTAAATGTCTAATTTCCTATAGTAATTTTTATTAAATTGTCATCTTTGCTTCCAATTATCAGCTCAACACAAATTAGAATCCAAAAGAATCATAACTTGATGGCTTTTTTTTTTTTTTTTTAATCTAGGAGCAAAAACCCCTCAAACAATAAGTGGAACATAAATAGAAGACAATTGTGGTTTCCATTTTCTAGGAAAAAAATAATAATTTGCTTGCTGCAATTTGCCACAATTTTAATCATGTAATTTCTTTATAGGAGCAAGTCTAATTTTTGTGAAAACGCATAAGAATGTGTAGAATCAAATAGGAGCAAGTCATATTCAAACAACAAAAGTAGACATAAATCAAATTCGAAATTACCTATGGTGCTATACTGCTATGTACCCAAGTCTGCTTATAAGCCCATCTGTATCTGTTCAATATCTTACACTCAGAATACTTCGCTACATTTTTTTTATTTTATTTTTTGCCAATTTGCTTATAAATCTACA